AGTAGCAACCGCCAACACTTCAATGCAACTAAAGCACTAGATTTGTTTCTCCATAATCAGAAGCACATTAACAATTACTCTCTTTTTGAAGTTCCTAATTTAATTTTGACTTGACTATTCTTATTTTATTGTTTTGACRTTATTATTGTCATTTTGTCTACTATTTCCTCACCTCACATTTCATCCGACTTTTACGTCAGTGAGGTGGGAGTACGTATCAATCCAAGGAGTAACTAACCTCGAGTCATGCTATTTAAATCTTGTAACTCCGCACGTCTTCAGCTTCAGAACAGAAATCCAGTTGCTTCATCTTTTTCTTTTAATTTTCCTGGATGACTTGAAATTGTTCCATCAATWCATGTTGCATTGGAGTAGCTGGCCAGAGGCAGTTTAAAATGTAAACAGTGAACTCAACAAGCATGTCAAATGAATTAATTAGCTCTGATTGTACAACTTCAGAATCAACATGCTAAAATGTAGCATCCATATTTACTTGTGTTAACAGCGTGCTGAATGTGATGTCATGTCATACACATGTGGGTCGCGCTGAAGGCGTAAAAAAATGACACTGGAGTCTGATGGGTGCTGAATTTAAAATATAATGTAAACGTTAACACAAAACAATTTGCWTCAGTTCTGGGTGCTTTTTGAACGACGATGAGTATTTGTAAAATCACTGGTACCAGCACTGGCATTATGAGAATAAAGTCACAATATTACTACGTTAAAATGAAGAAAGTTGAGCGTTTTGTCAAGTTATACTTTGGTATTGTTTTTCAAATAAAGAAAAACTTAATCTTTTAACACAGCAGCATTAAATTAGGATCAGTAGCAGGACAACGAAAGAATTGTGCAGACGACTTGTTTATTTTGTAGATGTTATTTTAGTATTATTTGCTTTATTCTGGTAATATTATGACTTTGTTCTTGTAATAAAAAAGTATCTTATTCTGACCCTGATCCTTTGTCATAAGTTTGCACATCTTTTTACACGTGCAAACTTTTGATAAATCAGTTCCTAAATCTGTCAATATCTTAGCTCAGTGAATAATTCAAACAAGACAAAGGTTTTGGTTTCGGCCTCCTGTTTGAATGATTTTGGATGTTTGGGTGACAGGTTAAGTTCAGCCTCAGCTCCCTGCAGTGAATCAGTGAGCAGCTCAGATCCTGAAATGATCCTCCCCTGCGTCACATATAGAAATGCTGCGTCCTGTCATTACATGAGCTCTTTGTGACTCACTCGTTTCATATGCAGATGCTGTGCCTCTGATTTCTTTTGATTCGGCTCTCCACGTTAGCATTGGGTTCGACTACGCGCCCATGAGGGGGCTGTTCAGGCGTAATTGCCTGTCAGGCTTAATTGTCCTGGGCTCTTTTTTGGGGGGGTTCTGGAAGCACCTGTGTGTGGATCAAAGCATTTGATGTTTGTGTCAGCTTTGTTTCAAGTGTGTATCCTTACTGCACACTGATTGTCAGGTAATTGCCTCTCCAGACATTTCTATAGCCAGAGTTTTGGAAGGAAAGAGAGCTTGCCTAATAAAACAGAGCATTTAAATGGCTGAGTACGTAAAGATTAGAAAAGATTTAATAACACTGTAACGATCTTAAGAGACAGAAAATAAATTACCTCTGTGACATAACGAAAGAAGCTGCAAATATTGACTTAGATGTGATTTTATTATGTGCTAGCAGGTCTTGATGTATTATAATTAAGAAACTAGTTCTTAGATGTGAACTTTTTTCACCCATCTAAACACTCCTCCATCACTTTTAGTTTGGCTTTTGTAAAAAGGGATGGTAAGCTGCAGCGATTTTAAAGTAGGGTTCTATTGAAATTAAAATCTTTAAACAAAGTTTAATTGTGGTAGGACCTGATGAGCTCACAGCTAGTCTGAACACAARCCAAAGTCTTAAAACAGCTCCTATATCCAAAGTTTTTTCATGCAAACACTATTTAATAAACTATTAGTGAAATTGAGCACAGCATCGTTAAAAAATAACATGCTTCAGAAGACTGGCCACTGCGGTACGAGCGTGGTATTGGAAGGGGCGGAATGTGAATGTAAACAATTTATCATGGCTAGATTTCTGTGTAGAATTGTATATTAGTTTTTCATCGGTTCGCATCTGCCTATTTGAAACATAATTCATTGCAGATGTGTGAACCTTGTCAGTATGTTTTCTTTCTGAGATTATATTTACTGACTATCATTTCTATCAAATCAAAATCATGATTGTCAATAAAAAGCGAGTTTCATCAATGTGCTGCTGTATATCTAACATGTCATGTTTATCATATTCAGCTTCATCAACTGAACAATATGCTCTTTCCAACCATTAAAAGTCACCTGACAGTGCCTCAAACCAATATACGTACCTCAGCTAACCCCAGATTTACACTGAATGTGGCTGAGAAACGTGCAGGAAAAACAAAATCAAGCCATAAAGACAATAATAAATGTGGAGACCAAAATCATTTTGTGGAAGACAAACTGGAAACAACGGTTGAAACTTTATCACTGCTATCTTTTTTTTTTGCATCCATATTTCAAAATAAAATCCAAGATTTGTTTGTATTATGTGTGCATAAACTGCCATCTGCTTTCCAAACACAATGTTAAGTTTTGATAGCATGTATGTATAAATATACACATGCAGTATATTATTTTAATATTGCTAGGATTTCAAAAAAAAAAAAAAGCACTCTGCCTTTGGAGAATTATTTAGAGCAGTGGTTCCCAAACATTTTGTCTTCTGACCCACAAAATATCCATGGCAAAAACTTGTGACCCCAAATATTACTGGTTTGAGTACACAAACTTCATTAATAACCCTAAAAACACAGGCTTTTTGACAATATAAACAGCCTATACACAAATATAAATACTTATTTTTACCTATTTTGGGTTTTTGTAATAATTATAGGGAAAACATTACATCAGCAATTATTTTATTACCCTTTAAATTGATTTCTGGAGATTATCCAAGGTGCTTCATGACCCATAATTGGGTYCCAAGCCCAACTTTGGGAACCAAAGTGCAVTGGTTCCCAAACTTTTCAGCTTTTGACCCACAAAATAACAGTAGCAGAGACCTGTGACCCCAACTATTTTTGGATGATAAACATTTGTATCAGGTCAACAAAACATGGGCATTGTAACAATATTTTTATACTACATTTATCCATTTTAAATATACTAACCTCTCTCCTTTGTAACAACTAAGGCAAAAATGTAATTAATTCAGAAAATCTTTTCAGGACCCCACCTTGATGTTTCGGGACCCCGCTTTGGGAACCTCTGATTTAGAAAATATGGATGTTGTACTTGTCCTCTTCCTGTTGGTGTGATCTTTGTAGATCGACTCCACATTTGCTCCGCCGTCCAGCAAAAATCTAATTTTGGCAGATCGCAGTGCAAACGCTCTCATTGATTGTCACGGTTTACTGCGGAGGTCTCCAAATTGAAGTAATTCAAAGAACTATTGTGTTTTTTAGGGATGGGCTCTTTAAGCAAAAATATACAAAATTCAAATTTGTTTATACGTAGTAGATTATTTGACATTGTCCTTCAAAAATTTGGTAGGTGTTGCTTTTAAACTAAACCTTGAATATTTAAGTCACTGCCCACCCCTGCTATCTAAATAAAACAGGTGAGATATTAACTGTTGGTGCCTTTTCCACTGAACCTCACTTCARATGWCTGAACCATTTATTTAACCAATCAGCCCACCTCAAACTGCCCTCCTGTTTAACAGATAATGAACCAACAGTACTCCGAGCCAAACGGCAAACCTATAAAATCTTCAAAGCAGATGTAATATTTGCAGAGGTGGACATAAAGACCCGACGCCTGCCTGCCTGCCTCGATCCAAAYTCTCTGAAACATAAAACAAGTGCACACAAGATAATAAATGTGCAGAAAGAGAACATTCTTAGATCTACAACCCAATAAAAATTAAAATTTGAAAAAATAAGCCAATTTCCAAAGTAAATATTTGAGCTTTAACATTAACATATTTTTAGCTGCTTATATATGACTTTTATTTACAGCTGTAAATACAGAACAATGCATTACGAATACGACATTAAACAATGCTTATTACATTTTTAGCAGCCTGTTAAAACAGAAATTTAAACCTGGCAGAAAAGCTTTGATTAGACTAACTTGACAGATCTAAAAGGCAGGTGCGTAATTATTGTTAAAGGGGAGGAGTTCAGTATGGCAGAGGGTTTAGGGGTATAAATACAGGCTGAGTTAAGCTGGAAAAAAAGTCTAAAACAGAATACTGGCCATCCAACRTTTGAAAAGATTTGCCTTTTTTTTTTTAATCATCCGTTTCGCTTGAAGAGTGAATCTATTTTACTTGATTGAGACATGAGTAATTGGAAGATCCAGCTTCTTTTTGTCACTTTTTGTGCTTTGGTCCAAACCTATCAGGGATTATCTTTCAGCGAGGAGGAGAGGGGGCTTTCTATAGACTGGCAGGTAAGACTTATTGGTGCAATGTTTAAAAAAATTACTAATAATTAAATCTAAGATCAGACTGATAATTATTTTTTTTCTCAAATAATAAATGTTACCAATAAAACACCAAAGCAAACCTTGTTTTTCCTAACAGGATGACTCTGTGGACAGAGGTCTGAACAATCTAGCAGAAAGTCTAATGAAAAGATCAAAAGGTCTTCGCTTCTATGGACTGATGGGAAAACGAACAGGTAGTTCGAAAAAAATCCTCACATGCAATTTTTTAATGAAAAAAAAACAAAAAAAAGGTGACTTTCTTGCCCCTCCTTACAGCTACAAAGAAACCATTTCAAGTAAACAGACGTGAGTAATTTGCCTGACAGCAACATGCGAAGTCTTTACAACAAGCCTGTCAGCATTTTAAACTGTTTTTCCTTCTGTGTTTGTAGGAAATAAAGGAGAAGCATTTGTGGGCTTGATGGGAAGAAGTATTTCCAGTGGAGGTGAGCAACAACCAGTACAAAAACCACACCATTCAAAATATCAAGGCAGCTTTATTGATATTAAAAATATCAAATGTCCAATACACAATGAACTACTATGATTAAATTCACAAGGCAAAGAGTGTCCCATTCGKATGTTTTTTGTTTATTACAGACTCTTTAACCGGAGCGATTCCATCTGTAAGCAGTGAGATTCAGTACTCAGAGGAACCGTACAAGCAGGGTATGATTGGATCTGTATGAAAACCTGAGCTTGTTTTAACTTCATGTGCGTCACTACAGACATGTTGTCCTTTTCTAATTCAACACTTATAAGATTACTTTCTTATTATTTGGCAGGTTTACCAGAAGAATGGGTACAAATCCTGTACTAATCAGAACTACAAAAAAAAAWAAAATCTATACAACTTTTACATCAACCAAAGAAATGTTTTCAAAAAATATACCCTGCTTTAAGTTTCTGTTCATGCGAACAGCTAGTTGCTTTGACCCCGAACAGGAATAACTACCGTCCTCAGAACACCTGAAAATGTTTGCAGTCAAGGTTTGTGTAATCCTCCAATCTGGACTAATTATCATTTCACTTCTATAGTCAATCAGAAACAGGGCATTTATAAAACAAGACAAATTCTGCAAGTGTTTGACCGCGATTGAGTCTCATTTGACCTGGAATGTATGATACTGAAATTAAAATAGCAAAGTAAAAAAAACAACAAAGAAAACACATAAAAAGATAAAAAGCTGAACTAAATGAAACACTGATCTTTATTGAAGAGTCTAGGCTACTTGTGGCTTGGGAGGCTGGAGGTGATTTTTTTTTTGTAAGTAGCCTGAGAAGTTTGTGCTTATGTCCCTTTGGGAGGGGTCCATTTTAGCGAGCTCGGGTCGATGGTTTTGTTGCTGTTACCTCGTTTGATCTCCTTTGCTTTCCACTCATCAATCAGATCCTAACACATGACAAAAACAAGGTTGTCACATACATGGAATTTTTCAAGATATAATTACTGTTCTCCAAACAACAAAAACTTTACCTGTCGCTTCAGTACTAAGTGCTTTCCCTTCCAGTACTTGAGCATCTGTAGAGACTGCAGGGTGCTCACAATGTCCACCGGATTGACTGCAGTTTCCTGACTGATCTCTGTGCATAAATTAAACAGCAAATATTTGTTAACTTTGTCTGCTCTTAAATACAGTGAAAACTCTCTTCTAAAATGTAACTCGCTGTTCTCACTCACCTTTAATGGAGATCTCCTTGCCTTGAAAGTTGTACATGTATCTGAGTAACACCTCTTTCCAGTAGCTGCGGTAGCTGATGAGGCCCAGGTCAGACAGAGGGCGTTCTGGTGAGCCCACCTTCTCCTCCACTTTGGACAGCAGATAACCTGAGAAAGAGCAGAGAGAAGTCAGCAACCAAAACCAAAGACACTGAAAAGTCTTTGGGAAAAGAATGAAATGCAATCACATTTCTATACGTACTAAAGTCAATGAGCATCTTGCCGAAGCCTTGTCTCATGTACTGCGGCATCGTCAGGATACAAGACACGTTATAGTTCAGGAAGGAGTTCTTCTCCTGGTTGTTAACACAAAAAGAAATGTCTTCAATCCATTTGGCAACTGAATTACAATTAAAAGTGTACCCCAGATAAAAATAAATAAAAATATTTCACAATACTGGTGTCTTTGTTTTTTTTCTTTACCTTGGAAAAATATCCCACTAAATGACAGCCGGTGTTGTCAGCCTCAGTCATGACGTAGAAGAGGAAAGGCTCCACGTCGTAATAAAGGGTTTTGTGRTCCAGGAAAAGTTTGGCAAGTAAACACAGGTTCTGACAGTAGATCTGAGGATTAAATGACAGTTTAGGATTGTGACTGTCTTTGAAAAAAATACCATATTTACGAGTGTATAATCTTCTATAAAAGGTAGTGTCGTAATATACATGGGAGTAAATTTCCTCCAGGTTTCCCCTGACAGGGTACAGCGTAAATGCTGAAAAACCATAAAGACTCTATGAAATTATGGGTAGCATTAAACATGAAGATCCAAACTTTTATGCTTTTTAAGCTCAAAAAAATGGTGGTTTGCATTATACCTGCATAAATACGACATGTCTTTTACTGTGATGTTACAAATATCTTAAAGAAAGCTGACACTTTAAAGCAAGGGTGTCAAACTCCTGTCCTCGAGGGCCGCTATCCTGCATGTTTTAGAGGTTTTCTTGCTCCAACACACCAGATTTTGATCGCTGAGTGATTAACAGGCTTGAAGAGTTAATTCAATCACTGAATCAGGTGTGTTGGAGCTGGAAAACCTCTAAAACATGCAGGATAGCGGCCCTCGAGGACTGGAGTTTGACACCCCTGCTTTAAAGCGTAAATGTCCCTACCTTATTTTTTTTGCCATCAACTTCAAACACTGATATAGAGCCTTTTCTGTACACCTCGTCTCCTGGAGGATGCTTCCACACACACTTAGCCTGAAAAAAAAAATACGATTATATCAGAATAATCTAACATGAGCTCAGCTAAATGACTCAGTGTGTAAATTATAACAGACCCCGCTCTCACAAACACTCAGCCCAACATTTATTCTGAAACTTGCACTCTAAAGTCTCACCATGTGTCTCCTGAGAATGGTCTGACTCTTCATGTATTTGAGACAGAACTCGCAGACRTACAAACGGCCGAGACGAGCGTACTCCTCAGGGTAGGGCGAGTGGTACCAGGTGTCCAGCTCATAGCGGCCAAACACGATGGTCTTGATCATGTTGCTCCCCTCAGTGATCTGACCCTGAATACGCAGCTTCTCCTGCAGGAGGGATCAGTGGATAAAAACACTCATCTGTTACAGCCCCGGTAAAGACAATAACATTAGAGAGGTGGCCTAAAAAAGGAGGTTTCTCTATAAGGATGATAAACATGACATTACCAGATCTTCAGAAGCACGGGCCTGGGCTTTTCTGAAAAGCTCCAGGTCATAGTCACTGGTGATGTTCTCGAGCAGAGGCTCTCTAGTATTGCTGTACGTCTGCCGGTGTTCCTGTAGAGCAAACATATCAGAATATTTATAAAGATGTATTAAATAGAGAACTGTTGCCTCTATAAAACACAGACAGTAGATGGAAGATGGCGTGTGACGTACCATGTGTTTTTCTTTCTGCTCTTTCTGCAGGCCAGAGTTTCTTCCCTTCCTCATCTCTGCCACCTGCTCCTTGTACCTGCTCTGTTTAGGTGTCGGTGTCTGAGGGTTAACACAAACACAAACATCATTTCTGTTGCAGTGAGACAACAGTCCTGAAAGAAGGCATGCAGTAAAGGCCCCTGTTCATAAACTACCTGGTGCCGAGTTGCATGGCGAGTGTTGTTTTCTTCTGGCACCTTTGCGTCCTCTTCTTGTTTCTCACGGCTGATGGCTTTTACCTGACCCAAAAAAAAAAAAAAAACACAACAACCCATAAAATAAACTATACTTCCTGCTGTGTCAGTACTCATCTGTGGCACAGGAAGATCACACTGCATAACAGTTTTTGTCTGRGTCAGAACAGCTTGAATCAAGTTGATTTAGACGAAAGCAAAAGTTAAGTTCAGCTTTAGGGTGGGGCCTATAAGATAAAAGTTCAATATTTTAGGGAGTTAAGTTTCTTATCAAAGCTTTTGTTCATGCCACATGAAAGGTTAGTGAACCGGTTGGATTCCAGAAGGATTTAACTCATTCCCGGAAACAATACTACAGGACAAACTGACTGAGACAAAGATGTTTTCTAAACAAAAAYCTTGGTTCAATGCAACTCTCAGATCAGTGCTTCAGGCAAGGGATGCACCTTKGGAGACAGAGAGGCTTACAGGAAGGCCAGAGCAGGCCTGAGTAACGTCTAGATTTGCTCCACAATTTTTTTTCCACACACTTTGAGGACGACACAAGGCTGATCAGCTCCTAACCCTCCAACATCAGGTATTGTGTGGCATTGACACAGAGCACCAGAACCAAACGGAGTAGGAGAAGGTACTGAAATCCTGCAGCTCGCAGMAATATTCACTGCCATTTTCAACTGCTGCAGGAAGCTATCGTTATCCCTATGAGTGACTACCAGCYGATGGCCTTGACCAACACCTACAGGCCCAACAAATCTACAGAAAAATCAACCACACACTGCTCTCAGCCACCTGGAAGACCCCAGCACTGACATCAGTATGCCTTTTGTTGACTTCAGTTTAGCATTTRACACCATCAGCCCTAACAGGCTGATCAATAAACAGGCATTACAGTCTGGAAGTGTATCTGTCATGATAATGCTCCATTAAGGAGTAAGCATCATTTTCTTTACCCCCCCGACCAAAATTAAAGCAACCCATCCACAAACATTACAAGACAATGTGAGGTGAAAACTTTGTTACCCAACATCYCTGAACAATGTGAATAGTTTTATTTATTAGTTAATGTATAGTTTCTACATGTTTCACCAGTGTTTCTTTTGCAATTAGTCCACAGTTCTCAGCTAAAAATACCAACAAGTTTATAAACTCACCTTGCACTCATCTGCTGAAAGGTTGTGATAAAGAGGACACCCTGATATAGCAAAGTGGCGTTCATGTTTCCCTGTGAGGTGACCTAAAGAGGTTAAGAAAATGTGGTTAGTTGTGTCAAAAATGTAAGTAAATACAGAAAGAAACGATCAAACATAAAAAAGCAAGGATTAAGCAAATTGTACAGTTGGGCAAAATATTTTACCTAGAGAATTACACCCTGGTGTTGGACATTTCATGTTGAAGTTGTATGTTTCATGACAGCGGCGGCGTTTTGGTCGATGAGAGAGGTCTTTATCACAGTCTCTGCTGGCCTGATCTTTAGACTGACTTTCATCATGAGAAGCGTTGGGGCTGGAAATGTCCAACTCTGATTCGGAGGAAGGTGCGTTTCCTGTGGGTGTGAGGGGTGGAGATTCATCGTGGTCTGCAGCTCGCTTCAAGTCTGGTGTATCTAAAGAGAAGTTCAAAAGTGATGATACAGCTAAGCTTTAAAATGGGGCATATGCTTCTTTTAATTTGTATTTTTATAGAAATGCTGACAAACCCTGAGAGCTCTGGCTAAGGCGGGTAGAGGCTCTGGTGAGGCGTTGTCTTTTGGGCATGTTTCCATCACTCTCTGAGCCGTTGGTCTGTTCTCTTTCAGCAGAGGAGTCGGAGTCCTCAGTTCCATCTGAGCCACTCCCAGCCATGGGTCTCTACCAAAAGTACACAACTTAAATTAGACCAACACAAACAAAATAATGTGGCCATAGTTCTAATACATAATGAATTCCTAATATGCTATATAGGATTAGTCTTTTAATACAATAATTTCAACACCCAGCTATAAAAAATATTTTTGGACGCTTCAAAACATTTAATTAAAGCTAAATCAAAAATATGCATACAAGGTGCTATTTATGTTTTATCAGCTGTCTGCTCACGGTTTGTTTTTGAACACGTCTAAAAAGCTGTAACTAGTTTAACAAATWTATTTAACCAAAATAAACATTAGGAACATGAAAAACACGGGCGTTAGCTATAGCAACATGCAAAGTGGCCTGAATGCTAGTCAACACATTTGTTTAGGGTATCTCGTTAGCTAAGCTAATCCTGTCCCACACCAGACTGCATAGACAAATACAATAAATTAAAAAAGTTTTGAATAACTACTTTCTTTATCGATATATATTTAGAGAAAACTACAATGTCTATATTCATAATATAAGTTCGGCGTACATATAATTATTAAAAATGATTAGGTTGATACAAAGCCTAAATCTTGTAAGGCTAGTAGTAGTTGTAAACACCCACGGATGTTTCATTTACATTAAATTGCCTAAACTCAGCAAAAATACTAAACACGACTTAGTAAATAAAAATAGCAAAATGTTATAAGGCTGTTTAGTAGAACGAGGATGTAATTTCAGTACGTTAAATTGTCGGGTTAATAAATGGTGGAACCTTCTAGCTAGTCACCTGGGAAAATGGCACACATTCGTGCTAACCCTGCTAATGCTAAACCTCTCGTGCAACCCATTTCTTCTTCTTACCTGTCGTCTGCGAGGCATGTTCTCCTAAATGACTGCGTCTGTGTGTGGAGGTGAACAGAAGAGAAAACGCCTTATATTTGTTAGATACAACACACGAAGGAATGGGCCCTACTTATTGATTTTTTTACATGAATTTGTTTGTATGCACATTGGCATAGCGTTGTCAGGGTATATCGCGCCACATTCCTCAAAGCAGGGAATTACATTTCCGGTGATGAAGGATGCACTGCTCCTCCAGACCAGAAGGGGGCGTGGCGTTTTCCAAAATTAATGTTATTAATACCAGTGTGTGTTGTTGTTTTCGAAAATTACACTTTTGCTCATGTGCGTTTCTGAATCCCCCCACATTTTGTTTTTGTATTATGTGAAACAGTGTTTTTTTTATTGTGTGTGCATATCATTTTGATTGTATTTTTTGTAATACTTAAATTTCAATAGTTGTCATTTGTAAAACAAACAGGAAATTGTTTTAGTTTTACTTTTGATGTTCTATCAAAGGAACTGGTAGACATGGAGGACGATACCAAAATAATTTCTGAAAAGAAACTAAATTATAGGCCCATATTTTTAATTGCATAAAATGCAAAGTAATATATTATCTATTTTCCCAAGAACATTTTGAAAAGGCACAGAGGTAATAAATAATTAGAGAAATAATAAAGAAATAATTAGGTTTTTTTTCCATGTCTAAAATTTTCAGCTGTTTTGCACAGCTAGTGTTTACATTTGCAAATACCTGTGTGTTTTCATTATTTTGTTTGTTTTGTAAAACTTAGCATGGCCACCTCCCCTGTTGGGGGTGAGGTGGGGTGGCAGTGAGGGATGGAAGTGTTGCAGAACCTAGAAAGAGCTTCTGTCTTCCCGAGTGTTCCACTGAGTGTCTATAAAAGGTCAGAGGAGGGGTCTGAGGTCGGAACTACACCCAGCAGCTGATACAAACTGCTCTAAAAATAACTTCCTGGGCCTTGTCCCTGTATAAGTGCACATAGCTGAACGAAAGAGCTACGTTACTTTCTTGTAATTTAAAGTAATTACAGTACCTTCTTTTTTGAATTTTCAGAAAGAATCAGAATGAACAAGCCCAAAATCACCAGACCAGAGGTGAGGTAAGTTCTGCCAGCCTAATCTGCGCACAACGAAAGGTAACATTCACACGTGTCTCCTGCTTGAGCTTTTTGGAGTCACACTTCAGAATAATAGTCATTTTTTGACATGCGTGTCCACAGCCAGCCTGCACATGCACTGTGGTTTGACCGAAAGAAGTATGTCACCATCAACTTCACAGTTCAAAAGCCGAAAGATGTCCAAGTAGACATTCAGCCGGACAAAATGATTTTATGGTGAGTTTGGTGAAGTTTCATGACTTTTGGTGTCTGCACAATCTGTTYATTGACTTCTGACAGAACTGCTGTGTTCATGGAACAGCTGCAAAAACGATACAGATGACATCTTCTACAATGAACTCTACTTTTACGACAAAGTACAAATTCATGTAAGGATTTTTAAAAAATATATCTTTGGTAACCAGAACTAACCAGCTAACTAGTCTGAMGTGTTGCTTTATTGGTAATAATACTGCATCTTTTCACCACTTTCAAGGATTCCAGAGAAAGAGTTTATGATCGCACGATCAACGTTTTATTAAGAAAGGTGAAGCCTGACTGCGCGTGGCCTCGTTTGCAGAAAGATCCAGCAAAGGTAAACGTGTTTCAATAATCAGTCCCATGTTCTTCTACATTACCAAACACCAGCGTAGAATAATGCACATTTATTTTGGTATATGTTATTTACCAATGTGCATGCTTTTCGTCCTGCAGCCCAGCTGGATTTGTGTAGACTTTGAAAACTGGAGGGACTGGGAACACGATGAAGAAGAGGGAAAGGAAGAGTTCGACAGATACATGGATGTGAGATTAGATCCTGTTTGGTCCTCCTAAGCAGTTTCTTTCTTCCTAAATACTCCTGCAGACTTGATCCTACAACCATTCAAACTTCTAACTGTTAAGAGCATGCAGGCGATTCTTGCTATGACTTTTGGTTGGTTCATTTATAGTTTTTGTTTTGAGCTTTATTAAAACACATTGGGAACATTTCAACAGCTTGGATATGGTGCAACACTGCCCCCTACTGACAGCCTTTTGATGAACAAAATGCATCAGTGCAGTGTTTCCCAAAAAACCGTAGGACAGACCTGTGCCCCCTACTAGTTTTTAATGATAAACATTGATATCAGGTYAAATAAATAAGGATGTAGTAACTATATTCATTATACCACAATTATCTATCTTTAAGTACACTGACCTCACTCTTTTGTAACWACTAAGACAAAAAWTWTTGCTATTGGTCATTTTTAAATGCAATTAATTCTGAAAACCTTCTTGTGACCACACTTTAATGTTTTGGACCCCACAATGGGCTCCCGACYCCAACTTTGAGAAGAATTGCAGGCAGCCTACAAAAGTCCACAGATCACAGAATATAGGTTATTCCTTCCATCGTTATAAGAGTTAAAGATGTTTGTTTTTATGCAAATAAGCTTTCACCACTGCAAACACAGTTTACACTCTTAAAGTTTAACATATAACACAGTCAATCTGGATCAAGTGCTAACAGAAAGTAATAGTACCAATAGTACTATTTTTGACAGTAGCTCCAGTAGTAGTACTAATAGTACTTTGAGTATTAGTGTAGTACTTTCACTTGTTTTAGTAATGCAGGAACTAAAGAAGGTGAGCCTGTGATTGGAAGGTTCAAMTTCCTGGACAGAAAACAAAAATATACGTGGGCAACCCTGGTTTCCCCACACTATGAGCCSTTGAGCAAGGCCCTCAATACCCCAGGCGCCTTTGATGACAGCCMACTGATTCACATGTGTGAGGGGAAAAAATGCAGGGAACTAGTTTCCTCTTTCATTAATATTTTTAATATACACTAGTATTTGTAATTGTGCTATTATTTCTGTTAATAGTACTGCTRCAAGAATAGTACTGGTATCAGTACTTTGAGGCGTGGGATGGGGGGACACATGGATGAGTGGAGTGGTTGCAGTATGTGCTCACAGAGGGGCGTGTCAGAGGGGCAGGGACGGGCACATTTATTGTGAACTTTCTCAGTTTTTTCACGTTTTACGTCTGACCTCAGCATGGTGAGTGACAGCTGAGCTGTGACTGTCAGACTGCTGACCTCAGTAGAAACAAACACTCAAACTAACAAACCCAACATACACGTTCACATGGGTAAATCATGTGATAGCAGGAGGAGGTATTGACAGATTGTGCTGCCTCCTGACTTATGGGTTGAAGTTTGATGTTTGTGATTTAATTCCACTAGAACAGACCCACATGCTTACATTTTATACACCCTTGTATTTATTTTTGTTGTATTATATTTTTTTCAGAAAAATCATTCTAGTTTTTACGAAAGAGTATTAGGTCCACTGGGAAAAATAATTATTCTGAGATTAGTCAGAATTGTTACTCTTTTTTCTGTGACCCTAATCCTCTTTTGTAAGTTTTAGCTGTTTTTGATCAAAGGAAGTACACTTCACAATAATTTCTGTTATTTGTTTGAGTGCAGGAAATGTTGATTTACATAAACGCTGTTGCTCTTTCAGATGATCCAAGAAATGTCCAGCGGCAACAAAGGAGAAGCACCAGACATGGGTGATCTCAGTGATGTAAGTGTTGTGTTTGTGGCTTCCTTTTAAAAAAGAGATTTAAATAACGCCACGCCAATAACAAGAACAGCTTGTTGTCAGCCGCACCAAATACTTCCCCTGTTGTGTTGATGAGTATTTGAATTTATCCTATTTTTTCTCTTACAGTCTGATTGATCCTTCCTGGACTTTTTCTTCTCTGTCTTTGTTTTTTAAATGTTTGTAATATCTGCCCCAAAAGTAATTGTGCTAAAAACATTTTTTAAAAGTATGGATTCATTTTAATGCAATATATTTATGGTTTGTTTGAGTAATAAAAAGAGTAATAAAATAAARTTTGATTTAACAACATAAAAAATTTCCTCTCAAGCATATTCTGGAGAGCTTCTAAACGTATTTTTAAATGAGCTTCTTTCTCCTGTTTCCTACGTTTTGCTATATAAATTGGTTAAAGGGTGTTTCAGAACTTCCTGGGGATAATGTTCCATGGCATTTCAGTCAGTAAATACATTTTACTTAATGAAGTGAGCCTGCCTGAATGATTCAAACCACTAATTTAAGCTTTTAATTAGCAGCAAATGGACAATCTAGATGAGAAAACTACTTACATAATATATTATAAACCATAAAATTTAGAGAAGCTGCAAAAAATGAAGAATCAAAAAACAATGAAGTYCCAACAAAAAGTGAAAAACTAAAGTAAAAAAAAAAACATTATACAAGGAAAAATGTTGCCATGTAAAAGAAACTGCTGGGACTGTGATCTCAACCTAGAAAAACCTTTTATATATTGACATTTTTTCCTTTTTGTTGTATGAATAAAAAGTATCCTACCTGTTTTAGATAGCTATTATCTTGGTTTAGAAAAAAAGTGGTCATATTCTGTCCAGATTGATAAACTATTTATTATTACCAAGCAAATCCAACTGAGATCCCAGACCAGGTCTGTTGATTAAAAAAAAAAAAACCATGCTAGCATAAGAAGAACGTACATCTGTGCACAGAAAGACCCTTGATCTGAACCGAGGATGGAATCCAGGACCTTCTCGTTTGGCATCAGTGGTAACCACTGAGCYGTCGTGCTGTTGACTAACAAATTAACAAGTGGAGATAGGGATCGCTACAACAACTCCAGTCTCTAAGGTTTTCAGTGCTTCGTGTGAGTGGTATTTTAACAAACTGTTACTGATATTGCATTATGTGATATATTTTAAAGAGTTCAACAGCTGTGTACAAGCACAGATCGTGGAAGAAGCAGCTAACTATTTTTTTTTATTGTTTACACACATTTTCTGAAACACACACATGGGCAAAACCCCTCATTTCTACTGCAAAATGATACCTTATGGTCAAAACTATGTAATTTCTTCTCCAATTTGGTATTTTGTTTTCAGATGACACACTCAAACCATCAGATGAACACTGATGAGCTCAGTGTAAAACACTGTGACCCTTTCCTCCTTTATCATGACTTTAAACTTTTTTGTTCAGTGTTAAACTTTTGTACTACCAACACTTCACACACAAGTGTGCTGTAAAATACTTGAGAATATTGTTTTATATTCAGAACACACAAACACACAGTCAAAAAATATTTACAGAATTTTCCSCACAAAAACAATGTTTACAGAGTACATATTTATAGTCAAATTAAGGACAGATTGCAGTGTGTTCTTTGTGACAAAGAACACACGTAAAAAATATGCGAAAATGCAAAGAATTTTGTGTAGTGTTTTGAAAAAGAAATGTGTTTTAGAACTGAAATTTGAGTGCAAAGCAGGAATTGTGTTTGTAGTTTAGCAGAACTGGTTCAGGGGGTCAGTGCTTAGGTTACATGTTGTGGTCATTTTGTTTCAAGCACCAGAAAATGTGTGTAAACAATCGAGAAAAACTGTAATCTGATTTTGATGTCTCAGACGTCTTTGAAACATTTGTCCGAGAAAAGCCCAAACATTCACGGCAATTAAAAATGTTATAAAACACAAACACAACATTGCTGTGAAGGGCTGCACTGTGGTGAAGTTGGTTGAGCTGTTGCCTTTCAGGAGGAGGTTGCTGGATCAAATCCCAGCCGGGATAGAGTTTGCTTGCTCTCTCTTTGCATGCATGGGTTTTCTTCAGTTCCTGCGCACAGACCAAAAACACGAATGCTGGGCTAATTGGTAATTCTAAAGTGTCCCTGAGAGTGAATGTATGTTTTAGTTGTGTGTCTCTGTGAAGAACTTGTGACCTGCAAGGTGTGTCCTGCCCCTCGCACAGTGGCTGCTGGATATTTACACCTGTGACCCCAATGACCCAAAAAAGGAAGTAGTGGGTAAAGATAATGGATGGATGGAAAAAAATAGAAGCATTTGTTGATGCAAAAGCTGAGCTTGTGCGTCTTTGCACAGGAGGTGGCAGTGTTGCCCAACATATAACTTCCTGCCTCATTTGAAACTTTCCAGCTACCTTCCTGAAAACACAAACTCTTTGTGACTTTTATTCTCACTCTGTGAGTCTTTCCCTCCCTGCTTGCCTGATTCAATAAAATAGAAATTGAAGAAAGAGCACATTTTGTTTTTAACAAAGTCACACATGTTGCGAATTGTGGTTAATTTTTGTGGTCCGCTTTTGTTAATTTTTTTTTGTTTTGTGTGTGTATGTGTGTGTGTGTGTGTGTGTGCTAGCATGCAATATTTTACCACCTCAAACATATGTGTTTATTTGTTGTTGGACTGGCATTAAATAACCCCACATTTGAAGTTGGAAACATGATTGTGGTAAAATGATAAATTAGCCAAACCACAGCTGAGGCCATAATAGATAAATTCAGAACACATTTAAGCACTTTTAGTGTCACTTTCAACAATAGTTTTTTACACGTCTTTCACACAGAAACGTTATTCTGCTTTTTCCTTTCATGTTGCTATAACAGTACAACTTAATTTGMATTAAAAGTAGTTTATGTATGAGGAGTTAAAATGTAAATAAGGAAAGCACCTGTTAACTTTGCCTCACAATGAATATATCCAGGTCCAGTTCCGTGTCACAGGTATTATTTTCCATCTAATCACAGAAATAATCATTGTGAATATTTTCAATGGAAGTTTGTTTTTGGTGCAAATTGCTATAGAGTATTTTATTTGCATTTTCACAAATTTCTGTGAAAAAGAGTTGACATTTAAATAGATCAACCAACACCACGTTGGTTGATGCAATCCATGGGTCTATGATTTATGTTCGAAGACATTATGGTTACACTTCGCCTGAAAATCCTTCTAACTCTCTTGGTCCTTGAGTTGTTTTTCCAGTTTGGTACCCTGTGGCACTTTAGTGTGGTTTCTCCAGAGAAAGGCATAAATTTGGCTCCCCGAGGCTCTCGGAGAGTGAAATACTGCCGTCTGCCTTTGCGTGCTCAGACTGGGGGCTTCAGGACYGGCACTGTGGCCCTTTCTGTCTCTGCAGCTCCATGAGACTGGCTGGTGTCATGGGATCGGCTCAACCGCAGGAGCCATGATGTGTCTGTGTTTGATTCCGCCACACCAAGAAGAGTTTTGTGTCGATGCTCTCTGTAGAAAATGCAGGTGCTGGGATGTGCTTGTTAACTCTAGGTCGCTCAAAAGTGAGAGGAGAGAGCTAATTGATTGGGTGGGGTGGAGTGTGATAAAGCCAATTGTGAGCACATCTTACCAAAAATGTTAGCTTTGCTAACGCTGAACTCCTAAACATGTAAAAAAATTAAAAAAAACTATGAAAGCTAACAGTAAACATTTAAACAAGTACAAATTAGTCCAAGCAACCACAAACAGTTAATTGCTAACATGCGTCAAACTCAAGGTTCGAGGGCCAAATCTGGCCCCCATTACCATTTTATTTGGCCCCAAAGGTGGTACTTTAAAAATTTTATGGTTTCTCTTTTTTTTTTTGTTGCTGTGTTAAGTGCAGTCTTATTATGACAGCTGACAAATGAAGTTTAAAATCGGGGGGGGGGGGGGGGGGGGGGGGGGCAGAGGACACAGATGTGGGAAGTGTGGGGGACATGTCCCTGTACCTATGGTGGTTACGCCCATGGTTCTAAACACAACATTCAGCATTATTTGAACAAAAGTTATTTGTATTTCCATAAGATTAAATTGGTATTGGCCCTTGTTTAAGACCAAGTTTTGATTTTTGTCCCACCTGTGCATGGGAGTTTGACCCCCCCTGCACTACGACGACTGTCACTCAGTCTGCGTCACACATCTTCATCTCTGTCCCGCCGAAGACTGGTTGGGACCAACCTGTTGATGCTAGCTTGTTGGTCAGCTGTTAGTGAACCTAATGTTGGCAAAACCTAATTTAGTGGAAGCTAACTAGTTTGCTAACCAAAGTTAGTAAAAAAGCTAATCCGCTAAACAAAAAAACGAGTCCCTCTATTAGCGGATTAGCAGAACCACACCCAGCACTGAGAAAACGGCACCTGCACATGCTGTGTCTCCATTCTTTTTAAAAGGTGATGTCAGGTAATTAGCTGGAATTTTCATTAAACAACAGATTTTTTTCCCCCCATGAGAAGTTAAACGGCAGAAACACTTTTTTAATGGCAAATGAGTTCCAATTAGCGTCGTCATTAAGTAACACAACGAGTTATATTAGCTTCCTGACCTGGACTCACCTCTTGTTTGTACTCCTGCTATTTATAGGCTGCCAAAGAAATTGCTTGTAAAATAATTTGCATATTGCTGTTCAGGTCAAACAAACATGTTTAGTTTCTGCACAAAAATGTGTTTATGTTTGCTTCCCTTGTTTCTGAGAGAAAGTCACTACAAAACATTTCCTGATATGTAGGTAGGTCCTGATTGCTCAGTTTTTCTCACGCACAAAGATTGTTTTATTTCCTGTATGTTTATAGATAAAAGTAAAACACTTACAAATGTGTGAACAGCTTGAATATATTATGAGACACGTGCTTACTTGTGTTCACCTTGCACACCTTTATTTTTACTTAGAAACAAATGTTTATATGAAGTAAAATAACTCAGGCAGTCGTCAAAAGGTGTCAGATGTGCAAACTTAGACATCTATGAATATATTAATTTATTTCCCCCTGTTTGTGTGAGGAAGAAACCGAAACAAAGACTCCTGTTTTGAGTATCAGTTGTTTTTTCTGCACTGATCCAAGCAAAACAAATCTGATGTATTTAGTTTTTTTTATGTGATGCATTCATTTTAATTATTTTCAAAGGTTGAATATAAGGAAAAAAGTTATCAGCAGATTTAAAACAGTGGCATCATTTAGGCAAACGGTGCTCAATCTCTGATTCTACAGGTTAAGTGTGATGRCCTTTTGGAAACCATTTACAGCAAAGGTTTTTTACATATTCAGTGTTTTACTCAGAAAAGTTGTTAGGTTTGAGAGTTGAAATGCGAATAAATTTGAAGCCAAAGTCTAGATTTTATTTAGGATCACACGAGATATAATTTACAAATATTGAGTGATGCTTTTGTTCRAACTATGTGAAAGATGAAGGAGAGTAAACGAACCAATCGTTTCATTTATCT